TGGGGATGTGAATGTATATTAATTTAAATGTATAATTTTAATTATTATTAAAAAAATTATCATCTGATTTTTGTATAAAAATCTTTTAAATCTTATTTTGTGACGAGAGCAAGATGAAAGGACGAAGGCAGTGCATGGCCATTCATCAACCCCTCACCCTCATCTCTCTGAGCCCGCTAGTGTCGCCTTCCTTCTGTCGACACCATTAGCAGCAGCGCATCATCGATTCCTTTTTGGAAGAAGAAAGCATGAATCACATACCAATGGACCATGAATTGGTGAAACTGTATTAATTTTGTGATTCTTATGAAATTCATTTGCATGCAGAACTTAGGAGGATGTGATGCTGAACCAAATGCCTACTTTAGAGGAGATCAAAGAGGTTGCCTTTTGTATTGATAAAGACTGTGTGGCTTGCCCGAAAAAATTGTTGGAATGTTATTTCTAATTATCTAATGCTTGCTATTTTTAAATTTTTTCAGGGAAAAGGCTTGATCGGGGAATTACTGCAACTTTAACAGGAATGATTCCAAAAAAAAAAAAAAGTGTTCAAAGCTAAGGTGAATTCGGACCTACTAGTCTTTGTTATCTATTTAATAAAATTGCTACAAATATCCAAAAATAATAGGTTTGGAATTTTATTACCAAGAATGATCTCATCAAGTCTGAGTGGGTTTGTGAGAGGCAATTTAATTGATGATATTGCACTTTTGGCTCAGGAGATATTTAGTTCTTATAGATGAAAAGGTTAAAAGAAATGTGGCCGTAAAACTAGAGATGGGCAAGGCATATGATCGTAGGAATTCCTTTATGCTGTATTGGAAAAATTTAGGTTCGACGATAAGTGGATTAACAAGATTCGCAACGGGAGTGAAAAACGTCTTTTCAACTCCGGCATTATTTGTCGTTACTGCTAAAAAAGGCCCTCACAAATTTTTCTATTTGGTTGTGAGAAAGTGATTTCACATCTATGTGAAAATGTGTAGTTATTTTATAAAAGTATGTTATTTTTAATATTCTCGTAATATTGTTTTATATTTTTATCATCATTAAATCCATGACAAAAAATTCAAAGTTCGGCGTCGAGTGGAACAAATTTCCTGCATGCCCATTTCATCTTCTTCCCCAACCCTATCCGCACCCTAAAATCAGCCCCCGTTTATCGCCTTCAATTTTTTTTTTATTATTTTGACTGTTATTTTTTTTAACATCGTTAATTGGAGAAAATAATTATTTTTTTCGTATTTGTAGAACAAGTCAAGTTTTATTTTAGAAACAGTGATGATTCATTTATTCTTGTGTGATAAAAAATTTTATATTTTGAAATAAACTTTAAATATGACGAATAACGAGGTGGGGAACATGTTCCCCAGGCTTCTCTGGCCCCCCGTCTTGGAGCAACGTTCTTCTCCCCTACCTCGTGTATTTGATTAAGCAGAAAATCCTCTTTCAGGATGGGGCCTCGTAGGTATAGGTTTAACCAACTTTTTTACGATCTATAGGCGTGTGAAAGTTTTATTTGTCATGTCTAATTGAAGTACTAAAATATTTCATTTCGTGCAGTTTCGGTCCAAAAAGAGAACACCCTATTAATCATTATCAAAGCATATGCAAAATGGTACTTTTTGACTAAAAATTTGATATTAAAATTCCTTTAAGATTGATTCAACGATCAAGGAGACAATCATGTGAATTGATCCAGTCTAGTTTCAAGTACATACCGTTTCACGCGGTTACTCGCTAACAATTAAAAAGGAATCAGACGGTTGTGTAAGGGACAAACCTCTTGGAACAAAGTCCCAAAAAGGGGTGTTTACCAAATATGAAGATTACAGTTTAGACACGAACAAGATGCCTCCAAGGGGCGCAGCATACAAGTACAAGGGAATTGAAGTGATAAAAAGTTAATCTAAGAAAAGTAAATTACATGTTCTCTGTTTTGAGAGTGAATTTTGTCTATCCATTCTTTGTTGTCTTCTTCTTTCTTTTATACGGTCTGGGCAGTTTTGATCGTTCCAGCAACTGCTTGTAACTACCCACTTCTTTCATCATGGTTGGCTGGCTAAAAACTACCGTGTGCAACTTCTATCACTACGCTCTCTTCATAACTGCTTGCCATCAACTTTCTCAAATCGTGGGGGCGTAATTATGATGTGCTCAAACCGTCTTAGATCGT